GTCAAAGCTGCCGTCAGGCTGTGGTGGAGGCCAGAGCTGCAGCCAAGGCCAGGGGCAGAGTAGGGTTGGTGGCACTCCCTCCCTGTCCCCCGTGGGGGCTGGCCCAGGCCCCGCTGTGCCCCCCGAATGTTTCTCCATGGCCCCGAGGGGGGGCACATCCCACAATTTGAGGACCACTGTTTTAAAGGGACACCATGAACTTAGAACAACCCAACACTTCTGTCTGGAATGTCTATTCCCTAGTAATTGTTACAAGTGACATGAAAGATTAAGTGGAAGAGATCAGTGTTAGAGACCACTCTATAGCTGAATGTAAAAGTTACATTAATACAACATTAAGTTTGCATCAAATAATTATATAAAAAGTGTTCAGACCCCACTGAGCATGCTTGGATGTGATTTTTCAATTGCTTATTAACTTTGGTTTTAAATTGCACCCTCCCAAGCCTACCATAGGCTATAGACTAGTTAGGAGGAGGATGATGGGCATAGTTGTGGGAGTCAGGCATTCTGGGTTCTGCCACTAATTTGTCATGTGACTGGACAAGTCATTTAACCAGTTTTCCACATCTATAGAATGATAACACTTTCTCAGCACACAGGTATTGTAAGGGTTATTTATTTGTAAAATGCTTTAAGATAATCAGAGGAAAGGCACAACAGAAAAGTGCAAAGTGCTATTACAGGTTTCCCAGTCACAGGAAAAATGGCTGAAGTTCGAGACAGGTCAGACTTTTAAACAATAAATTTAAATTCACCTTTGGGCTGAAATAGTGAAAGATATGAACCACTTATGCCAATGGAAATTTGCATTCCAGTGATCACTGTACTCCTTACCAATTCTTATGCAGAATAGCTCTATGGAACCCTATGGGCCTGCTCCCGCTCCCATTGAAGCCTGGTGTCAGCTGGGGCCTCTAGGTGCTACTGCAATACATATAAATAACAGCAGCACATCTCCCCTTAATTTCAATGGGGCAAGCTCTATGAACATAAAGCATTTTGCCAACATTTAGTGACTAAGCTCTTTCTTGAAATCGCACCATGTACACAGCTTTTCTCTCAAAAAAAAAAAAAACCAACAACAACCTACCAATGATAAGCCACACAAAATTAATATATTAAGAAAATCTTCCACTGATGTGTAGGACACAGCATCTGTAAGATGCCACCTTACTTGTCAATACAATCAGGATCTACATATTCAATTATTTTCAAACCAAGATCTGTCCCAGCAACAAGAACAGGAATTCAAGAGACAAACATTGTGAAGGAGGGATATGTTTAGGATCACAAAATTTTTTCCCATTCTTTCAGACTGATACTTTTAAACAGTACGGATGGAAAGTTATTTTGCTTATACAGTATAATTCTGTTTGAACAAAAACTTGTCATGTTTCTTGATAGATAGCACAAGAATCCATACTTTGGTTATCTACTTTACCAGAACTCTTCTGTACTGATTATTGGAACTGGTAAGACAAAACATTGCAGTTCATAAGATTTGTGCTAATTTTTGGAACTAATTAGTAGAAAGTAAATCTTTTCTCTGTTCAGAATACTATTATCACATTGACTTCAGAAGACAAATATATAAAAGGGCACAAGTCAGTCATATTCAGATCTTATCCTACATCCACTAAAAAAATCATTGCTATGCTGGCATCAGGTCATTAGTGCTGTATGGAAGGACTCTAGCACCTATGCATTATATTGCACTGAGTGCACTAGAGAACACACATTTTGGGAAAATAAAAGGTTATCAGCCAAGTATTTAGATTTTATGCCTAGAAAACGCATGCAGCTCCCAATCTGCATAGTGGCAATGTTTTGGAAATAGCTCGTCCCCTTTTCAAATCCAGTAAACACCTTCCCCAGTTTTCAGATATATCACAAAACCTGTCAGTTGCCATTCCTGAGGGACTGGTTAAAAGGCACTAAGTGCATCTCAGTTTTCAACCTGTGTAACTCCCAGTTTGCTGTTGACAGGTTGAGGTTTTCTTGACAGGTTGACTATGTGTCAAGTTTTACTGAATCAAATCCCTGTTTTACAACTGTTGTTTTGGTGTAGAAGATAGCTTGTGAGGCAAACAAGGAGAAATTCCCCATTCTTTTAAAAGGAATCCTTCAGACAAGCACCACTCTCCTTCCATGTGGAAGGAGAGGGTCAGCTACCTCTCCAAAGGCCTGCAAAGGCCTCACTGTGCATTCTGTGATTGATACTGGGAAAGGGGACGGAGACAAGCTGACCTGAGGAATGGGAGGGGACAGCAGATGTACTTTGTCCACTATCCAGACTTGGAGAGATCAAGTGAAAATAATACATCCCCAAGTCTATATGAACTTTTCGGTGTGACCACTGCAGCTAAAGGAAACCCTAGCAGCATGACTCCCACAATTACAGGGAGCTGGGAGGGAATCCTAAAAGGGGTCATACTCAATGCAGAGGGAATGATCTGGGCCAGTGTTTTTCTTCTTAGAAGTCATAAGGCACACCACAGTTTCACTGAGCAATAAGCATGAACTACTCTACATTTAGGAGGGACAAGGCCTATTCTTAAGCAATAATACTGTTATTTTCCTTTCTCCCAGTGGAAAGCAATCCCAGTCCAGTGAACGTCAATGGAATTGAAAGCAGTGTCCCAGTTGGATCACTTCTAAAAACCCTATTTATCAGTTATGTAGAATTTTTTGGGGTGCCTCTTTCAAGAAAGAGGACATTAAAGTGCACAATATTGTTATAGCCCTGTCAGTACCAGGATATTAGAGAGACAAGGTGAGTGTGGTACAAGTTTTAGAGTTTACACAGAGCTCTTCTTTAGTATCTACGTAAGCTCGAAAGCTTCTCTCTCTCACCAATAGAAGTTGGTCCAATAAAAGATATTACCTCCCCCATGTTGTCTGTTTCTTACATTAAAGGTTAGATTTTCAGAAGAAGCAGAGCAGGGGCATGCACCTGTTTTGCCTGCAACACTCAAGTTTAGGTGTGTGCTTTTTTTGAGGGAAAAATCTACTGTGCTCTCTTTTTAAAGTTTAATTCTAACATTCTGTCCACACAACAACTTTCAAGACCAGTTAAGGAAACTAGCACAGTTTAAAAGAGAGCTGCACAATAAGCTTTTACAAAACTATTTTTGAACTCTGCTCGGGGAGACAATATAACACAACGCAGTTGTCATGTGGAAGGAGCTTTGTAGCATTTGCTACAGAACTCCACTAGTTCTCTCCAAAACTCCCACAATACACAGTAAGATACCAACAAAGGCTACATCCCTTTCCAAACCATGTATGTACACACAACTTTGGCCAGACTAATGCAGTTATCAGAAAGATTTCTGGAGATGTGTAAACTTTCTGAGATGACTGTATTAATCCTACAGAAAAAAAAATATATACAGCAAAATAGACAACACAAAAGCAAACCACTTTATCCTGAACTTTAAGTCACTAAATGCCTGATTTTCATCTAGCACCTTTATTCTCATCTTCTCAACGTAACATGATTTGCCTTCTGCAGCTTTGTACTCAGCTGAACAGATCCCTGATCTGCTGTGAAACTTGCTAAACCACAAATATCATTCTGGGATGATACATCTCATAGTCTCAAGAGATGGAGAACTGATTTTGGAGTCATGGAATCATAAGATTATACCTGGGGGAAAAAAGAAAAGCGTCCCGGGAAGGTGACCGAAAACCTACTGATCCACAGAAAGGAATGGGAATTTTAGAGTCAGCTGCATGTGAACTTGTATTTGGAGAAGGGGAAAGGGTACCTCAAATACAGGACTTTATTAGTCAAAATCAGCCAAAGCTCCTGGCTGACAACATTGAAACACAGTTCTGTGAAAAGCTGCTAAAGGAAACCTCTATCAGATTTAGGAAGTGGGACTTTAATGTAACCCTGTGTGATACAAACCAAAAAAATAGGTTCTTAAGGTTTCAAGGCAGAAGTGGAAAACCCTCTACAAAGAACAGATTTCTGCCCTCTCCCATTCTTAACATCAGTCCAGCTAAGGAACATAGGAGTAAATTTACTTCTTTGTACAATCATTAGCTAAGGAAGAAGTTGAGGTTATGGGGTAAACCCAGGTACTGCAAACTGTGGTTTATTTTAGAGCAGTGGTTCCCATACTTTAACAACCTGTGAACCCCTTTCACTGAAGTGTCAAGTCTCACAAACCCCCTCCTAAAAATGAATATTTCCAGGGATTTTCTCCTTTACCTGAGTATAAATTATAAACGCAGTGATCTTGGAAATATAAAATTTGTTTTTATGGAAGGCTTATTACACACTATTCATTATTATTTATCATTACAGTATTTTTATTACATTATGAAAACAGCAACACTCTTCCAAGTTCTCACTTTTGTAGCTTGTATCACTTTGAATAAGCCTGTTATAAGACAAGGCTCCTATGTTTCATCAAGGAGTATCAGATGTGAAACAGCATGAAGGTATTTAAGAAGCCAACTCAAAGAGCTCCTCCTAGACAAGCATTCAGGTCTTGAGCAGTCTAGGCAAACAACCCACGTTATAACAAGTTCTTCATAATAATTTGAAAAACAATACTAGCTACCTATTTAATTTTAAAAAGAGCAAAAAATATCCACGTCCCTTTCCATTTCTTATGAGGAGTTTTGAAGTTTAAATCTCCTCACTGTGATCTACAGCTCACATCTGATGAAGTGAGCTGTAGCTCACGAAAGCTCATGCTCAAATAAATTGGTTAGTCTCTAAGGTGCCACAAGTACTCCTTTTCTTTTTGCAAATACAGACTAACACGGCTGTTACTCTGAAACCTCTCACTGTGATAGATATGCTTGCTTTGATCTGCTTAACTCTTGGAAATTCAGTAGCTCCATGCCGCTGGCCCCGTGCTGCCCGGGGTCCCTAGGGACAGCTCTGTCCTCCATTAGGGATTTTTTTTCCCCCAAGAACCCCCTGTAACATTTCACAAACCCCAGTTTGGGAACCATTATTTTAGAGAGACAAAACTTACCTATTTTGGGATGGGAAGTTGGCAGTGCAGCTTCTGGAAAAGGTGAAATCTGACAATTGTCCTGATAACTTGGATAGTGAGGTTCTGGATGACTGACACGGCAAGGTTGCTGGACAGTAGTATCTTGTACTATTGGAAGAAGGAACAGTATTATAAGCCCATAAAGCACTTGTTATACATTGCTTTGACATTTTTTGTATTCAGATTGACATGAGTTTCCAAAATCTGTGGTAACTATAAGCATTATGAATGCTTCTGGAAACAGTGGTGTGATTTGCATGGGTGCCAGGTTTGTATAATTTTTGGTGGTGCCCAGAACGGGTCCAAGCAGAGCCATCCTGTCCATAGGACAGACCAGGGCAACCACCCCGAGCCCTGCGCTTTGTGAGGCCCCGCGCTTTGGGGGGACGCGGCATCCAGGGCAGCCTGGGGGGGTTAGCAGGGGGCCTGGCACCGGCAGCAGTGAGCATCCCGCCCCGCCAGTCCCCAGCATCGCTTAGGGGAGAGGGCGGAAGCCAGAAAGAGACTGGGTGAAGGTTTGGGGAAAAGGGTGGAATGGGGGCAGGGAGGGGGCAGAGCAGGTGTGGGAAGAGGCAGGGTGGAGCAGGGGTGGAGTGGGGGCAGGACGGGGACTTGGGGGAAGGGGTGGAATGGGGGCTGGGCGGGGCAGGGCAGAGCAAGAGTGGGAAGAGGCAAGGTGGAGCGGAGCAGGGCGGCTAGGTCGCTTGATGCTGCCAGTGCCAGGCCCCCTGCAAGTTCCCCGAGGCCACCCTGGACCCCGTGTCCCCCTGAAGCATGGGGCCCAGGGCAGTTGCCCCAGTCCGTCCTATGGACAGGGTGGCTCTGAAAGTTTAAACCCAAACATTCTGAATTCATTGTGCCGCCGTTCCTGAATATTGGTGGAGCACGGGCACCACGGGCCCATATAACTCGCTGCCTACGGTGATTTGACACTGCTGCCAGACAGGCAGTCCATCCACTGTTACTCCATGTGAGTCTCCTCTTCCACTTTTTAAGGTTTCTACAAAGACTATCACCCCTCCCCTCCAAACTTACTTCTATATTGTCAAGATCATCCAAAGATTCCAAAATGCTTGACAAAGGTTTTATGATTCTCAAAGATGGCACAGTACAGATGTTCAGGACTTGTCCAAGGTCACACAGTAATTCTAAAGCAGGGCTGACACTAGAACCCAGGTCTCCTGGCTGCCCGTTCTGTGTTCTAGACACTATACCTTAAATAACTACTGGTAAGCGAGCATGGAGCTGAACGGCAATGTTCTGAAATCTCTCACACCACACCTTAAATTGGTCTGCATTATACTAGAGCAGTGGTTCTCAACCTATTTACCACTGTGGGACGCATAAGATCGAGAGAGCTGCATATGTGGACCGCATCCAAACAAAATATATACTACCCATATGACCCTGAGGATGTCACATGGGCCGCAGCTGTGTGCTGACTGGGCCGCAAGCGGCCCGCGGGGTGAGAACCACTGTACTAGAGTGATTCGGAATACCCTATTCTCCTCGTTCCCTTCTCTTTCCCTGTTGTGCACCTCAATGTTGCATAGAAGGCAAAAGCCTGTATTAAACTATAGGAGAGAAAGTTAATAAAGCCCAAATGCATAAGCTAGCTCAAAACTCACATCCCACCTCGTAGATTGCATTATCTTATGTTCTCCTCCCTCTGTGCACAGTGTTTCCTCTCCAACTATCTGAAAGCCACTGCACTGCATTACAGTTCATTAGCCTACCTCCCCCTGGAAAAAATATTTGGTGAGGCTTCATATGAAGGCTGTTATATGAAAAGAACTGTTGTAAACTGCACTGTACATAACTCAAGTCTAGTACCTAATAATCACTTATGAATAAATAACTCTTATACTGCAGCCACATTTTTCATTTTCAATATGCATTTAAATAATACACTTACAGGCTCTCATATAGCACTTTTGTCATCATTAGAGCATACAGCACTCTACATAAGGTGGTTAATATCAATATCCCCATTTTACAGATGGGGAAACTGAGGCACAGGGCGGTGAAATGACTTGCCCAAGGTCACACAGCAGGCCAGCAGGAGAGACACAGGTCTTGTGCGTCCCATTCCAGTGCCCTCTCCACCATACCACACTGCCCCTCAAACATTATCACACTATGTTCTATCACCATACCACTATATCTTAAAGAAAACGTCCCATACCAGTTTTGCACCCACCAAAACACGGCCATGCAAAAATGTCTGCACAAAAAGTGGACCACAAGACTTCAGGAGATATTTAGAGTGCGGGTTGAGGCCCCTTCAGAAGTTTTGCCCATAGTATGGTAACTACATTTCAGTGCAACTATTCTGCACATTGCAAGGTTAATAAAAATAAAACTTTAGTTCCACTGAACTTGCCTTCAGACTGTATTCCTTTTGTATGTAATTTGCAGGCTGGTAGTGCGCATAGATTAGAGAAGTGGTTCTCAACCAGGGGTACATGTACCTCTTGAAGTACACAGAGGTCTTCCAGGGGGTGCAACAACTCATCTAGATATTTGCCTAGTTTTACAACAGGCTACAGAAAAAGCACTAGCGAAGTCAGTACAAACTAAAATTTCATACAATGACTCTACATGCTATACACTGAAATGTAAGTACAATATTTATATTCCAATTGATTTATTTTAGAATTCTATGGTAAAATGAGAGAGTCAGCAGTTTTTCAGTAATAGTGTGCTGACACACTTGTATTTTTCTCTGATTTTGTAAGCAAGAAGTTTTAAAGTGAGGTGAAACTTGAGGGTATGCAAGACAAATCAGACTCCTGACGGGTACAGTAATTTGGAAAGGTTGAGAGCCACTGGGTTAGAGGCACAGAGTGTAAAACCAGAATGGACCACCAAATCATCTAGCCTGACAAGTATATCACTGGCCACCTACACCGTGCAGCACCCGCATACTAAATCCAACAACTGAAATGAGATTAAAACTATTACAGGATACTAGACTATTATGTGACACAGGCAGAGTATAGGAGGGATCAAGTTGCAGGGGCCTTGGGCACTGGTAAAACTGCAGGGAAAGGATTAAGTGAGATATACCCAGATAATACTGCAAGTGACCCATACCCCATGCTGCAGAAGAAGGTGAAAAACCCCTTAGGTTTTACAAAAAAACACATAGAAAGAAGACTTTAAAAAAAATTACAGGATTCACATAACTTGGACTTTATTTAATCCAAACTCTAAAGCAAGAGACACTATGCTATTGTTGGGTATGTTTTTGACATTGGTATTTGTTCCTTCTGTCAGAACTATTTGAATTGCCAGACGAGCTATTAATTCATTACACTGTTTTGCCTTCCACTGTGCGGAAGTAATACTTAAATTATTATTGAAAGAGTAGAAGGAAAATATTTCTATTTTTTCAGTTTACTTTGGAGATTTGACAGCATTTTTCATCCAGTCAGTTTCATTGCACAGACAGTTACCCTTTTGGGGGGTTGTTTTTTCAGAGTAAAAGGGGAAGAGGAAAACAAAAGTGGAAGATGGGTTTGTAAAAAAACACAAAAATTACCAAGGAGGACGCAGTGACAGGTGCAGTAACAAAGTATTTTTAACTCATTTTATGAAATTGACAAGATTTCAAAGTGATGGTGTCATTTTGAGGAAAAGAGAATAAATAATCTACACCCTTTGGTTAAACCCTTGAAGAAAAGTCTCACAGCTGCTTTCAATGGCAATGGGAGTTCAGAACCCCACACACGTCACTACTGCAAACTGCATGTGTGTTTTGAGGACTTACCAGTGGCTCCAGTGAATACATCACCCTGGGATGGACTTTCTGAGATGATAGCTGTGGCCTCCACGGTTGATGCACGGTCGAAGGTCAGAGCACCAGAAGTAGTGATCTGTCCTGACGGAGTCACGGTGACTGGAAATAGCAGAAGCACTTTCATAATTAGTGCTCAACTCTGAAGCCTTGGTTGTTTAGCTGTTGATCTCCCTGTTCTGAATCATCCTAAGTCACAGAATTCACAGATCAGTAATTGACCTGTGTTATCAATATTTGGATAACACCTCCATCGCACAGAATGGTAAATGGAAACAAAAATCTCATTTTGGCTTCTGAATTCATTGTGCACACATCAGCTTCCCAGAGTTATGGCTCATTTTAGTCTCTGAAGCGTGGGACCCAGATCAGTCCTGCACAGTTTTATTCCTATTGCATTACAACAATTTCAAATCACTACACAAGTGATGCCACAACACAGTAGCCAACGGAAAATAAAGCAACAGGGCTAGGAAATCCAACAAGGCAGATTTCTAATTCATGGAAACTTCAGTGAGAGCAGCTATTACTGGTCTGAGAAACTAGAGTCACCTCAATATACTTCCACTATGGTTTGGTTCTTTGGACTATTACCACCTTATTTCCCTTAAAAGGTGACCCACACCACTCTGAGACAATGAACAATGTGCAACGCTAAAGCCACAAAATCCTTCCATACCAAAATTCCAAAGACAGTGGACTAGGGTATTTAGAAAGATCTTAAAACAAACCCTATATTTTTTAACTCCCCTAATCAAGCCCAAGGAAAGGAATCACACCTGCCATCTTGGGCTCACTCCTGCGCCTATTATATGTTCAGATAGATCTTTTCACAAAAAACACAAATACCAAGCTTGAGAAATGGCTGCAGATACTCATTCTTGCAAGGACCTGTTACAAGATGGTGGCTGCTCCTAGCAACAGTCAAATAGGTTCATCTTTATTTCAGAAGCTGATTTGAGCATGTTAGAGAGCCAGAGAACCTGTGTTCAGTTGTGTTTTTAAAACAAAACTGATCAACAAAAACCAATTTTGGAACCCCCTGAGCACAAGGCTTTGATCATGAGACTGAAGTCTGCAGGATTCTGCAAGAGACCGAGTCGACCCAAATTCTGGACCTCTTCCCTTAAAATCGAACTGCTTTACATTTCAAACAAACTTTGACTTAATTGCCATATACTTCTATTTTCTACATTTTCTTTCTCAGTATTGTTGACAGTTAAATATTTTTCTTGGCTAACAAAAATTTTCCTTCAGGCAATACAGGTATTTCCCTTCCTGCCCAATTCATTCAGTATAGTTGCAATCCAAATCCTGAGACTTCACTACCAGGAAGAGACTGGAAAGTCGCATACACTGAACTATGACATCATTGAAGGTAACAGGAAATGGAAGCAGACTGTTTATAAAAGTGAACCTTTGTTTTCACACAAGTATCTTGGTAATCAAAAACGGTGAGAAACAAAATACAGAAATATTACATGGTATCTAGATAGGAGTTAAGCTTAATATATTCTGAGAAACCTGTCTGAAGGTGAAGATAGCCCATACAGCAGCTCTCACTAAAAACTTCCAAATCAGAGACCATTCCAGCAGCTTAGATTCTTTTAGTATGTCTCAAGAAACAGCGTGAGGCTGAATATACAGAACCTGCCTGCTCTCGGAAAGTGAAAGTCAAACCAACAGGTGTTAGGCACCTAGTTCTGGAAAAATCTACCTCTAAACCTCTACGGAACAAGGCCAGGGCTCCAAAGCTTTTGATGGCCCACTGGACCAAAAGACAAGGATGGGGATGGAAATCTAGGTTTCCCAAGCAGCAAGAAAAAAAATACAACCCAAGTTTTAGCAAACAAAAGGTTTTCAAGATTCTTAAAAAAATATTTTCCTAGAAACAGAGCTGAACATTTTTCTACTGAGTTTACAACTCAACTATTGCAACACTGTGCTCATGCACGAGAACTAACAAACGAAACAGACTAGTCAGACCCGTCTAGTTTCACTGTTTAATCAAAAGGACATACCAAAGCTAAACAAACAATCAAATTTATTAAAGCCTTTCCGTTTGGATTCTCTAGGATGTAATTAATATGGAAATCAAGCAAAAAAGACAAAATATGATCTATCATGACAATGCTCCTCTAATAAAGAGCCGGCAGGTTTATTCCAGAAGGGAACTTACAAGTGGTAGCAGCTGTAGCAGGAAGCAGGGTGATGTTTTTGGGAGAATCCTTTTTCACTGGCGTTGTAGGCAATTCGTTTTCTTTTTTTCGCCTTTTATAAGGGACAAACAATCGTACTGGGCCACTCTGAGAGAAAGAGAAATGAGCAATTATTATGAGCTTTCTTATTAAGACTTTTTGTCCTTTTTCAGCTTGATCATGTTTGCTCTAATTCTTCAGACACAGCTGGGACCATACTCTTTTATATGTAGCAGCTCTTCCTGAGGAAGACAGAGCGAACAAACCATTGGGTTCTCCTGCTGCTGCATTTTGTCAAAATGCCAATTAAGACTACAGCAGAGATATTTGCTTCTTCTCTCCAGGCCAAAGAGAACAGTTAAGATGCACAATATTTAAGGTATTACTGATCTCAACCCTTTCAGTACAGCTGGTGGTGTCACTCCATGGTCAGCACTAAAGATGGTCAAAATTGAAGGCGAAGGTATCACCAGTCTCAGCAAAGAGCATATCCCCAAACCAACAAAATCTCTACCTTCCTACCCCCATTATGTTACTCACTCACACAAAATGTCTGCTCCAGCTAAAAGGGACCAGACTTGGCATCTTACCATCATTATCTAAGGAGCAGCTCTGAACATCAAACAGAGGGAGTTCATTACCCCTTTCCTTACTCTAGTCATGAACAAAGCACACTGCATCCACAACACTCCCAACCCCTTCCTGTCTCAGGTTGCTCATGACAAACTCTGATGGCCATGTGACAACCTAACTGATTATCATTAGACCATAAAGCCAACACTGAAAGTTTTCAAATTAGTGGCTGTAAACTTGCAACTCACCAAGGTCATGTCATCACAGCAGGCAGCACAAGTGCATGAGGCAGCATGAGGATTTAAAATCCCATCCTGAAATTGGGAAGTTACCAGGACAGCATTAAAAGAGTCACAAACCACCCAAAGCATGAACATACTCTAGCAAATGATTCAGGCCTCTCCTGAGAATCTGTCCGCTCCCTGAAGACCCTGGGTAGCAGTAAAAAGGACAACTCTTCAGAAACAAAGGGAATGGTGGGGAATATACCAAGGGAAGAACTCCAAAAGCAAAGACAAAGGGCAGGTGAATGTGTGTAGAATAGTATAAAGGATCTCTGCCCAATTGTCTGTTTAATAGTAATGCCCCATAAAGAATGGGCCTCCCTTCTAACACTATGGGATGTAAAATATCTGGAGTAACCTAATAAGAAGCAAGGGAACCACTTGTTCCCAGCCAAACAACAGTAAAAGAGGTTCGATTATAGAATTAGAAGTATGTAATACAGGTGGGGAGCCTTTAAGGCTATCAGTTCCCCATTTCTGCCACATGGAGTTCAGTGCTGGAACTTATCCCATGTTAGCTTCTAACTGGAATAAAGCTATAACCCTTTTTGAGCTTAACAAACATTTGGACTGACTTAACTTGGGAACCTGGCCAAGGTTCTACCCCTTGGTTCTCAGCAAAACCAAATCACTGTTAATGAAGTGCCCTGTTGTAACAATGATTTCTCTTTAATACTCCTGTGACTAGGTCAGTGTGTTCTCTCTCCCCCTCATCCCTCTGACAGAACACAAGCATTTGGCCAGGACGTTGGAGAGTCAGACACTGCCCTCCCTTCCCCCGGAGCAGAGATAAGCACACGCTTGATCTTACATGAATAAGGCACTGCAGTGGCCTCCCAGCATAGCGGATGCTTCTTTTCCAATCTTTGCTACTGGCTCTTCCTGCCATGGCTTCAAACTCAGTGGGGCTGTACCAGTTCTCCCCTTGCTTAATACATCGGCCCCGGCCTCCTAAAACAAGGCAAGAGAAGGCATCTAGTGGCTAAGAATAACTTTTTCACTTTTCTGAAGATGTAAGCACTGAAACCATCAGGTGATGAAGCAATTAATCCATAGCATGCAATTATCTGGAACACTAGTCTAGTAATTCCCACCCTATTAGAATAATTGTACTCATTTAAGACCTTGGCTGTATTAACCAGTGCTTACCACCTCCTGTTCATTTGTGTATGCTTAGACCAGGGGTCTCAAACTCAAATGACTACGAGGGCCACATGAGCACGAGTACATTGGCCCGAGGGCCGCACCACTGCCCCTCTCCCCCCACGCTTCCCTGCCCCTGCCCCCATTCCAACCCCTTCCCTGAAATCCCCACTCCAACTCCGCCCCCTCCCTGCCCCCAGGGGTTGCAGGAGGGGTGTGGGGTGCAGGAGGGGCCTCAGGGCAGGGGGTTCGGCTGCAAGAGGCGTTCAGGGGGGTGGGTCTGGCCCGACACGCATCGGGGGCGGGGCAGGCTCCCTGCCTGCCCGCCCTGCCCCCATGCCGCTCCAGGAAGCGGCCGGAACCTGTGGGAGGTGGGGGCACAGGGGTCTGTGTGTTGCCCTGGCCACTCCTCCAGGTACCTCCCCCGAAGCTCCCATTGGCCAGGAACAGGGAACCGCAGTCAATGGGAGCTTTGGGGGAGGTACGTGGAGGCGCAGCCAGGGCAACACACAGACTCCTGTGCCCCACCTCCCGGCCGCTTCCTGGAGCGGCGCGGCGGCAGGGTGGGCAGGCAGGGAGCCTGCCCTGCCCCTGGTGCGTGCCGGGCCAGAGCCGCTCTAGGTAAATGCTGGGGGCCGGGGGCCGTGGGGAGCTGGCAGGCCACAGAAAATAACCCCACAGGCCGTGTGTTTGAGACCCCTGGCTTAGACTGCTCCACATCCTAGTCTCATTAGCACCTAGATCCGTGCTGGAGGAATCTAAATTAAATTATATGTCTGCAGTACGTACAAAGCTTTCCCAGGCAAATGGCATCGACTTCTCCAGAAGTAATGCTCTCCTTTACTTTTATTTTTAAGTTTCTAGCCTTTATGGTTGTGAAGAAAAGCTTCCATATGTGAACAAAAGGGCAATCATGGATGCCTGAATCTGCAGGCAGATAGCTCCAGTGCCTCTGTGCTGCTTGTGGCTGTGGCAAGATTCAGCAGACGCAACAAAGAATAGGAGAGCTTCTGACACAACCAAAGAATCCGGGTGGGAGTCAGGCTTCCTACTCTTCAAAGGAACAGAGTGGGGTAGCAAGAGGCCAAAGCACCCAAGGAGAGCAATATCCAAAAGGAGAAGACTGGCTTGGAAATTCTCCCTTCCCTTCATAACCGGTTTTTAAGAGCAGCACAATTAAAACAAGCACAGAACAAAGATGCATGAGTCACCATCCCTCTCTTGTGGAAGGCAGGAAGGGCCTTTTTACCTGAACCAAGCCTGTTTTTATACAGGATTCCGCTGATATTCCGGCATCGCACAGGGAGTTCGCTGTCATACACTGATGGGTCCCAGTTATACTTCGTGCCATTTTTTTCTTGACCAGGTGTTAAAGGAGTGGGAGGAGACTGAGAACCTTTGGATTAAGAAAAGAAAGACGAAACATACTAAATGCCCACAAACATAGTTCTGGATTTTTAATATCCGTCATATCCAGACTGTAATGCAATTAACTCAGACAGCTCTGACGGTCCATAATGAGCAGAGAAACATACTAAATGACATATAATTTAATTTAGAGTCTGTTAACAGCATCTTTCAGACCAATGAGATTATTTAGAGTGCTTCTAGGAGCCCTGGTTAGGTATAATGTTATCAAAGAAAATAAAGGAGACAAAATCGTAGAATCACAGAAGTGTAGCACTGGAAAGAGCCTCACCAGGTTATCTAGTCCAGTCTCCTGAACTCAAGACAGGACTACTTAATAACTAAACCATTCCTGGCAGGTGTTTGTCTAATCTGTTCTTAAAAACCTCCAATGCCGGAGATTCCACAACCTCCCTAGGCAATTTGTTCCAGTGCTTAAGTACCCTGACAGCTAGAAAGTTTTTCCTAATGTCCAACTTAAACTTCCCTTGCTGCAATTTAAGCCCATTGCTTCTTGTTTCTTCTTCAGAGGTTAAGGAGAACAATTTTTCTCCCTCCTCCTTGTAACAACCTTTTATGTGTTTGAAAAAATTGGGTTTGTTTAATCTGGAAAAGAAGACCAATGCGGGACATAACAGTTTTCAATCTTCCCTCATAGATCATGTTTTCTAGACCTTTAATTATTTTGTTGCTCTCCTCTGGACTTTCTCCAGTTTGTTCCTTTCTGAAATGTGGCACCCAGAACTGGACACAATACTCCAGCTGAGGCCTAATCAGCACAGAGTAGAGTGGAAGAATTTCTTCATGTGTCTTGCTTACGACATTCCTGCTGATACATCTAAGAATGACGTTTGCTGTTTTTGAACAGCGTTATACTGTTGACTCATATTTAGCTTGTGATCCACTGTGACCTCCAGATCCCTTTCACCAGTACTATTCCCTAGGCAATCATTTCCCATTTTGTATGTGTGCATTAGGAAATGTATCTTAATCGTGAGTTCATATAGACAGTGAAATAGTCTCCTGGGAAAATGATGAAACTCCCATTACTTCATACAACACACAGTCAACCTGAGGAACTCCTTTCCAGAGGATGTTGTGAAGGCCAAGACACTAACAGGGTTCAAAAAAGAACTAGATAAGTTCATGGAGAATAGGTCCATCAACGGCTATTAGCCAGGATGGGCAGGGATGGAGTCCCTAGCCTCTGTTTGCCAGAAGCTGGGAATGGGCAACAGCGGATGGATCACTTGATGATTACCTGTTCTGTTCCATTCCCTCTGAAACACCTGGCATTGGCCACTGTTGGAAGACAGGATAATGGGCTAGATGGACCATTGGTCTGATCCAGTATGACTGTTCTTATTTGAGTCATTTAAAACTGCAATGGCTATGGGAGGATGGATGTATTAGGTATTTTCCATGTCTTGTTTCTAGCAAATGTGACTTTCAATGTTAAAGAGCTGTTGCGCCACCTTGTGTACAGAAAGGAGACTGCAATGCAGCTGCCAGTGCACACACCTGAATTAAGAAATAATCTTTAGAAACAAAGAAATGGTGTTATCTTGACATTCAAATGTCAACAAAAGGTCTTGGTAGAATCATGACCATTTGCAAAGTTTAAAATATAAATGAGTCCAGAACTAGGAGACGGAACTTATCAATGTTGCCATCCTTTTCCAGTATCAATAGTTACAATGAAAAATTCATCTTCCTGGGTGGAATGCAGAGACAAGTGAACATGAGAATAATAAAGAAAAAAGGCAAGATTTTCCTGAGTGTGCTTGCGAAAGCAAACTCAAGGATTGCGCGAAAGAAATAGATTTCTTATAGAAAAAATGGGGAGAAAATAGTCTTCCTCTACTCCCAAGAAGTACTTTGCTCTTGGATCTACCAACAGAATTTCAAGAGGTGACAGTCAATGCTTATAACATGGTTTCAAAGAATTACACATGACAGTTTCTAGTTCCAAATATAGGAATAGGAGATATAGGGCTAGCCCAGCTGAGTGACGCTTAGAAAACAGAGCAGGATTGTGTTATACCTGGTGTGAGAGGTGCAGAGGGCCCCTTTAGCCCTGTGGTTTCTACAATGCTGCCATCTGTGTGAACCACTATCAGAGTGGCTTTTTCTGTATTCAAGCTGTCCCCAATTTGAAGGGCTGTTCTGCCAGACTACAAAAGAAATAAAGAGTTTTAATTAATATAATTAAAACCTTGGTTATTTTTATGCCTCTCAGATTCTTATCTCTGGACCCCCTACAACTCTAAACTGTGTGGGAGTAGCTAGATGCGTGTGCGTGCTTTCAAGTCAACCAAATTCTGGCCTCAGAACAGTGAATCCAAGGCCACGTGCTTCAGGTCACCAGGGCTACATGGGGGGACATATTCAGAGTGAGCTGGCTGTGTAACTCTTAACTTTACTGCTGGTTATGTTGCTAAATTCCTGCATGTTGAAATGAAGAACCCTCCTTTGATCTTAACACAGACTAAACATCAGAGTTGTACGCATCCGCAGATATTACATATCCTGAGATTATCAACAGGGGGCCCACAACATTCTAAAGGGAAAAAAATAAAATAAAAAAACCCTTAACTTACCAGCACATGTCCAGATATAGATGCAGCATTTGCCACAGATGTGGTAAAGACATTGTCTGCAGAGGCACCCACATTGGCTACTGTTACTGTTGTCACTTCTACAACATAAAACAGAAGTGAACTTAATATACTGCTGTATCCACAGAACCTCATTAAAGCTAAAAGGGGGGAAAAATACAATTGTATTCCTTTTTTCCCTATATTATTTCCAATTTTTTTTCCAGGTCTTCCCACCCACCCCCTTGAGAATAAGATCACCCACAGAGGACGTTCCCAACTTCACTTCTGGTGTTACCTCTGGAAATCTTTTCAAAGAATCTATACTAGAAATAAATGTCATTCTGATTATTGCTATCTATCGTCAAAACTGGCTTGGGCTTAATCATTTGAATGCTCTTGAGGCTGAGACAGTATTTAACAGCATATGATTAACTAGGAGGAAAAATGAAGCTGCTTCAGTGTGCATGAGAACTGTAAAAGAGGATTTACTTACAATCCTAAAGATAAAAGGAAGAGAAAACCTCAGAATTGCTGCCTGCCTCTGTCTATATATTGTTACCACTTCAATAATATCATGACAGAGCCAGCTAGCACACCAGCTAGAATGTATCCAATTTTTAAAAATATATTTTGCATAAAGTTTGACAGCATATTTAGTTATGGAAAGTTTGCCAGATTGTCTCTCTCCTGCTGCTATCTATAAAAATTTGCTTTTAAAGAAAATTTGGTATAAGCCAATAGACGCTCATGGTTTATATCAACTTCTGTTTATGCATAAATTACAAGGTATATGAAACTCAGCTTCTTGAGTAGGCATAAGGGTTCCCTCCTGTAACTAAGGGAATCCAAGATGGGTGTTGTATGCCAAATATGTGGGGCTTCACAAATTAAGATCCTACAAGTCCTCTGAGTCTGACACACTTGTAAAGTAGAGACACAAGGTGGGTGAGGTAATGTCTTTTATTGGACCAACTTCTGTTGGTGAGAAAGACAAGCTTTCAAGCCACACAGAGCTCTTCTTCAGGTCCTGTCTCTCTAATATCCTGGGACCAACATTGCTACAACTATACTACATACAAAATTTGTAAAGTAACAGCTGTTCAGAGCACATACAGAATACTTAGGTTGAATCCTGCTGCCATATTTTATGGTATACACACAAAAAAAAGGATTTCTGTGTTCTGGGAATGGAAAGGCATGAAAAAAACCCACCTAGACAGACGTGCAACAAGATGGACAGCTAGTTATGGGTAACCTTGGATGTATTCGATTTTTATCGGTAAACACAGATTTTACTTTTCACACACAAACTGATAAAAATATTTTCATTACAACAACTGTAATTTACAAATAGGCAAAGTAAGAAACATGCTGTTTGACAACTTATTACAGTTTAATTATATTTACTTTGTACAGTTTGACATGTGACGTTCACAATTTTTGTGTTAATAGTTGTAAAGCTTTACTTTTTGAATCTCAATGTCTATTGTCATTAAACAGTTACTGTCTGATCCCTCCCTTAATTTCCCACAACTATGAAAATTTGAATAGATAAAAATAAAAAATAAAACATTGATATTAACCATTGAAATTATTAAAAAAAATTAGGCTTGACAGAATTCAATTTTGATGATGGGCTAAAGTCTCTGCTCCTGGCTGCATGACAGATCTTGTCTCCAATATTCTGCATTTATCTGGGGGGAGACAAAACTCTCCATGAGAGATCTTTGCACACACCGTGAGCAAAAGGTCAAAGTCAAGATCTGATGTGCAGAAAGAAGCCTCTTGCTCAAGGGGGAAAACAGCGTACGGTATACTTGTGAAGGCAGTACGTTGCTGTCGCATCTGAAATAGTGGGTTTTTACCCACAAAAGCTTATGCCCAAATAAATCTGTTAGTTTTTAAGGTGCCACTAGACTCCTCAGTGTTTTGTGAAGACAGGCAGTGTGGGCAAAACGGACGGTTGCCAATTCTCCAGGATTATCCTGGAGTCTGTGTCATGTGATGAAACCTCCAAGTATTAATCCAACCAAAACTGGCAACCTTAACAAAAGGTCGGAAGAGTCAGACACTATTTACTTCTAGTTCTGAATTTACTAGGTATTGGCTGTGTGGCCTGGGATAAGTGACTTCACCGCTCTGCCTCCCCAGCTGTAAAACCAAGATAACCGTGTATCTCAGCTGGGGGCGGCGAGCCCAGGACTTGCGGCACTGACGAGAGGCACGGGGGGGGGGGGGTGACCGCACGGGTACCGCGCACCCTGGGACAGACGGGACGGGAGAGAGCGGCGGACAGCAGCAAGCCAGACCCAGCAGCGCAGCTGCACCGAGGCGGCCCCTTCCCTCGGACGGAGCCGTGTTCGCCCCGAGCTCGCTCTCTGCGGAGGACCCCAGGCCCAGCGCTGGGACCTGCCGGGAGCTGGCCCGGGGACGCGGGTGCAGGGCTGCCGACCTCGAGTAGCGCCCCATCTCCGCTCGGCTCCCGCTGAGCGCTCTCGCCGGGTGCCCAACGCGGACCCCGGGGCCCGGCTCTCCCGCGCGCATTCGCCCGTTAGAAAGGCCGGCCCGGCGCGCGCGGGGCGGTACCGGCGGCAGCGCGTGGCCGGGCGGCACGCGCGCCCGCGCGGCGCTCTGTGCGCATGCGCCGCGCTCTGACCTGCGAAGGCGGCGGCGGCGGCATCGTCCGCGCTCGGCAGGGACTCGGCTCCCATCGCGATGTGTTCGGCATCCGCCGCCATCACGGTCACCGCCGTCACCTGCGCGGCTGCCTCCTCCTCCTCGGGCTCCGCCTCCAAGCCCGCCGCCTCCGCCCGCTGGTGCTCGGATCCTTCCGCGGCCACTGCTGCGGCCACCGCCGCCGCAGCTACCGCCGCCGCCTCGGCCAAGCCTAGCTGCTTCGCCGCCGAGTCCGAGTCCTCCATCCGAGCCCGCCCGAGGCGGCGGTAGCCGGGGGCCGAGAGGAGCCGAGCGCGGCCCGAGCGGGCTCGAGCCCTCTCCGATCTCACACGAGCCCGATTCTCAGATTCCCCGGGCGGGGCGGGGCGCGGCGCGGCGCTACCCTAGAATGCTCCGAGTTTCCCCGAGCGATCCCGAGTCCCTCCGAAAGTAGCCGAGCGCTGCCGAAAGCGAGTAGCCGAACTGGCCCGAGTCGGCCCGAATAGCCCCGAGTCCCTCCGAGCTCGCCCGAGTGCCGCTCCAGGCGAATTAGTCGAGGATCCGAGCTCGACTGAATCCCCTTGCCCCTCCCGCGTGACCCGAATGCGGACCGATCCGGGGAGCCGAACCCCTCCGAGTCCTCGCCAGGCTCCCCGGAACGTCGCCCGAAGAGCCAGCCCAGCCGGGCGGGGGGGAGGGACCCGAACCTGCCCGAGGCGATCGGGGACTAGGGCCGATGAGAGTCGAGCCCGCCCGAGTCCTCCCAGCTCGTCCCCATGGCAGCGAGGAGCCGAGCCGAGCCCAGCCCAGCCCCCTCCGATCTCACCCGAACGGCCGGGCGGGCCGGGGAGCCGAACGGCCGGCGCCCGAGTCAGCCCGAAGCAGAACGAACCCGGCCGAGCGCGCCGAAGGGCTCCGAGGCGGCCCGAAGGCGGCGGGGCTAGAGGGGGAAGGGGCGGGCTCCTCTCCGCCCTCACCGCACGCCGGAATAAGCGGCAATGGCCGAAGGCGCCCGAAGCCTGAGCGGCGCACGGGATGACGGGATGCTGGAGGACTGAGGGGTGGCGAAGGGGGAGGCGGACATGGCTGCTGTTAGGAGAGGTGAGCGGACGCGTTGCCATCGTTACCGCGAGCTCCGCGGCCGATGGGGCAGGGGGTGGGCTCAGAGCGGGGCCGGGTGACGGTTCCCAGCCAGACGGGGTGCGGGGGGTTGCCCCTGCCGGGATGATGGGCCCAGTCTCTCTGCTGCCGCGTTGCCATAGTTACTGCACGGCCCTGGTTAAGTCGCCGCGAGAATTAACTCCCGCCGGCGCGCGCGGCACCCGGAGGCGGTCGGGGTTAGTGCCGCGGCGAGCGTTCAGACGCGAAGGGAATGTGAAGCGATTCCGGAGTTAGCCCCGGGGTCGAGCTGGGCGGGCGGGGGCGATGCAGGGCACTGCGACCTCCCTTTGGGGCGGGACAGCCTGAGGGAGGCGTGGCCCCCCCTCGCCCAGCTCGCTCCCACGCTCACGGAACAGCCTCGCCGGCGCCAGGGCCCCCTCTCGCTCTCTTCTGCGCTTCGGCCTCTGAGCAAGCCTTGCCTACGGCCCGCCATCGGGAAAGGGGGCGGCTCCGGGGCGATCAGTGCCTGAGGGGAGCCGATGGGCGCTGGCCGAGGGGACTCCGAGGAGAAGGGTGTCTGCGGGATCAGTGTCTAGGGGGTTCAGGGAGCTGGGTGTCTGGGCGAAGGATGCCGGGCAGGAAGGATTCAGAGGAACAGCCGTGTTAGTCTGTATTCGCAAAAAGAAAAGGAGGACTTGTGGCACCTTAGAGACTAACCAATTTATTTGAGCATGAGCTTTCGTGAGCTACAGCTCACTTCATCAGGAAGGAGAGGGCTGTCTAGGGGGAGGTGGGTTTCTAGGGAGCTCAGGGGACTAAGGAGAGAGGCAGGGACGGCAGGTTTGTATAAGTTTTGGTGCTGCCCAGAACGGGTCCAAGCAGAGCCATCCCGTCCATAGGACAGACTGTGGCAACCGCCCTGGGCCCTGCACTTTGGGGGGCCCCCTGGTTTGGTGGGATATGGGGTCCAGGAAGAGCTGTCCCATCTGTAGGATGGACTGGGGCAGCCGCCCCAGGCCCTGTGCTTTGGGGGGCCCCACACTTCAGGGGGACGTGGGGTCCAGGGCGGCCTGGGGTGTTAGTGGGGGGCCTGGTAAAGGCAGCAGCAAACAACCCAGCCCCAGCTCTGCTCCACCAGCTCCTGCCATCGCTTGGGGGAGAGGGCGGAAGCCGGAAAGAGATGGGGTTTGGGGGAAGGGGTGGAGTGGGGGCAGGCTGGGGCCAGGTCACTCACTGCTGCCAGCACCAGGCCCCCCCACGAACCCCGTAGCCCACCCTGGACCCCACATGCCCCTGAAGCATGGGCCCCCCCAAAGCGTTGAAAGCCCAAAACATTGGTGGAGCCGGGCCCACGTTCCTACATATTGGTGGAGCATGGGCACCACGGGCCCATGTAACTTGCCACCTATGGAGAGAGGTGGTGTGTGTCTAAGGGGACAGACAGTGGGTGGTGAGTATCTGGAAGAGGCAGGGGTTAGCTGGTGTCTGGACGAGATGGAGGGACAGGGGTTACCCTGGTTCATTCTCACCTGTCCCCAGTGCACACCCCTGTTGTGAGCAAGCACCAGATGGCTGCAAGGGTACAACCAGAATTTTCTTGAGGGGGGCCCAAGAGGGGCTCATGTGTGTATGGGGTTCCCCTCCTTCACATTGCCCTGACCTCTTTCCCCCCCGCCTGAGAAACCAGGACCTCTTTCCCTTTCTCCAGGAGAGACCTGGAGTGGTGTGGACTCCCTTCCCCAAGCCAGGGAACTTTTGTTGTGCCCCTTGCCTGCCTGCTTCCAACTTTTACTTGCTGAACTCAGCTCGACTGGAGCCAGAGGCTCCATGCTCTGCACTGCTGCATCCCAATCCTCAGCGAAGGGGGATAGGTTGGCTTTGCCTCCCCCGACTCATGCTGCTCCCTAGAGCTACATGTGTGGAGCGACTGGAGGGCACGAGCGCTTCCAATGTCTGCCTTTCAGCTGTGTGCAGCCTCCCACCTCAGGGTAGGGACTGCCTGGTGTTCCCCCCTCTGACCTGTTCAAATCTGTGCAAGCTACATCCCTTCACCACTTGCACACAGAGGGCCTTGCCTCTTGCTAACAACCACAGCTGGGCAGGAAATAGTTTTCTTGTACCAGGAAATTTTTGGTTAGTCTCTAAGGTGCCACAAGTACTCCTTTTCTTTTTGAAAAATGTTCTCACCCAAAATTGGACCAACATCTTGAAAATTGTCATGAACCATACTATTCCCCTCCCCCCATTTCAGTTCAGGTCAATCAAAACATTTTGATTTTGACCATTTTTACTTTTTTGCTTTTCTAACTTAAAAAGTCATTTAGAACCAGAAAACAGGATTTTTTGTTTCAAAAATGATTTGTTTAGGCAATTTGGATTTTTTTCAACATTTTTTGGAGTCAAGAAGTTAATCAAACCCAACCATTTTCCCACAGACAGTTTCTGTTTTTAGTAATCAGCATTTTCCAGTAAAAAATTTAGTTGAAAAATTCCCAATCAGCTTTACTAACGGTATCGCTGAATTCAGCCTGGGTATGTGCTTGGGAGGCTCAGCTGCTGCTCTAGTGAGGAATCTGCCCCACTAAGCATAACTGAATTGTTCGTATCCTGACTAACTTGTCATGCTTTCTTTGTATGAGTTCTTCTGGCAACGTGCATAACACAGCATGGATATTCTGTTTAATTTGTTCTCCATGTGGGATACTCTTATAAATTGAGGTAAAGCAAGGGAAAGAAATGCTGCACCAGTGAACTAGCTGTGATGAATGCATTATTAACTATTGGTCAGTAAAATTTTGTCCCCTGCCATACATTTTGTATTTGGCAAAACTCTCCTTGACTTATTACAGCATTCCTGGCTACTTTTAGAGTGAGTTAATCAGTATTATGTTGTTTTTCATTATTTTAATTTAATATGAATAAAAGAAATGTAAACAGTAACACCCAGCCTCCCAACTGACCTTTGCTGAGTGGGGCAACCTTCATTTTATTATTAATAACAATATTTTATACTTATTTTAGCACCTTCCTGCTGAGTATTTCAAAGCACTTGACAAACACTAATGAATGAAACCTCTAAATACCTTTGTGACATAGGTAAATGTGGAAACAAGTACAAAGGACCAGATATTGCTGTGTATCAGTTTAAATCCAGAAGGACTCTTATGAAATAAGTAGAGTTTCCCTCGATTTAGACTGATGTAACTGAGAGCAGAATTTGACCCAGAGACAGTAAGTGGCTTGTCCAAAGTCACATAACAAGTTGATAAGTTAGCTAGAAATAGAACCCAGGACTCCTGGCTCCTCTTCTCATGGTGTACTTCTATACTAGCAAAGTAGGATCTGTATTTTAGCAGCTGCTAACAACGGTGCAGCTGGATGAGTGCTAAGCTGCTAGTAGAAAGGGCTCAGGCATTTTTACCATTGTGTGCTAAGATCCGGCTATTCTCTCACTGTTATAAATACTTCATTAAAAAAGCCTAACAATGTTCTTTTAATAAGATTGCAAAGTCAAGCACTCAGAAGTTGGGAAATGCCAGATTTAAGGATGGTCGTGCAACCTTAATTCAGCTCCCTTGTGCATATGCATTATGATACAGTATTTAATTACATGATCACATACTATTTTTTCTTATGGTAGTGGCACAGCTTCCCAGAGTGTGCTCAGTCATTCTGTGGGGATGGCGCGCATGCAGTCCAATCATACATAGGAGCTGCCATGGGCTGGAGCATGTGCAATACAAACAAAATCTGTGGATAATTTAGTAGCCAACGTCAGCTGACTATGTGTGAACTGAGATTTTTTCAGTGACTCATAACTTGGTCCTACTTGGGTGTTTTTCACAGCAACAACAAAAGGCACATTCCAGACAGCAGGTGACCCCCGGTCAAATGTCCAGTTCCAATCCAAAGCAAGGAGGTGTGAAAGCTTCTTAAAATATGATAATAATCTTACAACTCGTTCATTAACATGGGCAACATGAAATTTTCCATGCTCTCATTCTCCAAAATGACTGAACCATTTTAGCTGAAAGTTTCAAAAAAAAAAAAAAAAAATCAGTTTGAGGTAGATGCCTGGCATGGAAAATTTCAACCTGAATGGTTTAAGTTGGGCAAAGATATAAGTAAGTGAAAACAGGATCTTATAATGGGAAGCATTGGGCAAACCTAGTTATAGGGATTGCTACCTGCACCATCTGTAACACATTTTTGGCATCAGAAATGCTGAATCCTGAAACAGATTTATAGAAAACGGGCCAAATTCTGCCTTCAAATATGCACACGCACAGTGTTCTTTAAGAAAATTTGGCAGGGGCTACATTTAAAAAACTCACTTGTTTGGAACAGACTTTATGGACCTGGTTCTGCATTTGTTCAGTGTATCAAACTCCCAGTAAAGTCAGTGGGATTCTGCTCATGGAGTATCTGCACGATCCAGCACTAAAAGCACAAATTTCAAAACTGTTTTCTTAAGACGCACATGCAGTTCAAGCATATGTACGTGCAAAAAGGCCCTCAGGACAATATGGCAGATAGATAGCCATGCTCCTAAGAGCCCACTCCCATATATGAATGTAAGATTTGCACCATGTTTGTATCCTTTCTTGAAAATTGGAGTTAGTGCACCAGATTCATCCCTGGTATAAACCCATTGTCTTCACTGGAGTTACACCAAAGATAGAGTTGGCCCATATTCAAGCATCGTTATAGGCCGTTGAAAGCAAAGTGATCTTGCACTTGGCAGTCTAAACTAATTTAGAATAATTGAAAATTAGATTTCAACTCTCATAATTGAGTGGATATGTTATTACTAGATTACTAATTACTATATAATTACAATACCTATCTCACAAATGTGTGTTGTGAGGCATAAGCAATTAATGTTGGTGAAATGTACTGAGATTCTATAGATGCTAAGTAGGGTTATTAGATATTATATAATTTGTCCTTGGTACAAATGTAGGAATATGGTTAATGCCTACTTGTGGGCTAATGACAATGGCATACGGTTTTGTGGTTAGAGCAGGGAACTGAGAATCAGGGCTCTGGGTTCTAAATCCAGCTCTTTCACTGATTCACTGTGTGATCTTTGGGCAATTCCCTAAAGGCTTGTCTATACACAAAAATTGTACTGCTTTATCTAGCCCAGTATAATTAAAGTGGTACAACCCCTGTAACATGGAGTCAGTTATACAGATGTGTGACCAGAGTCCCAGGGGAGCCACACTGAGGTTACTCAATTGGGGTGAACTGCAAAAAATGGGGCAAACAATCCCCAAAGCTACTGAGTATTCCAATATTTAGATTTACCAAGCCAGCACAAAACCGCTTCTATAATACTTTACTGGTTACTCAGAAGCCAACAACACAGTTTCCTTAAAGTAACCCAGCCTTAGGCCTCCACCCAGACACCCAAGTCAAATATGATGAGGATTACTGAAAAGTTTATTCATCATATAAAAAAGTTCTACCAATCCCAAAGGATCGGACACATTATCTCCCAGGTTAATGAATATTTCATATCTTACCCAAATACATGCTTACAGCCAATTTGTATTAACTAAACTAAAATGTATTAAAAAAGAAAAGACAGAGACTATTGGTTAAAAGATCAATATACATACAGACATGAGTACAATTCTGAGATCAGATTCCTAGTAGAGATGGTGAGCTTTTGTAGTTGTAATTTTTCAGAATTAGTCCAAGGCTATAGTTCTATGTCCACATTCAGGGTGATTCAGATGGGACTCTGGAGATCTCAGTCTTAGGACTTAAGCTTTTCCTGCATGAAGCATCAAGCAGATCTGAGATAAAAAGGATCAGGAACCAAGACATTTTTATATAGTACCAGGCCTTCTTTTGACTGCTCGGAGTCCTTAGGGGAACAATAGGTAATCATGGAGACTTTGAAGTAGACCTGTTTCCTAAGCATCACTGGTAATTAGCTACATGGATTAACATAAGACAATTGCCTGTTTTCCACCATTCACAGGTAATTTGCTGTACATTTCAAAGAGAGATGAATAATAATACAGTGATATCACTATATTTACAGTTCATTTAAATGATATTTCCTTTTGATATCTGAATTAAAGAATTAACAGAATACAGCATAGACAGGGACTGCTCGATTACATTGTTAACTTCTAACAATATATATGTAAACACACAAAAACCCAAACATTATCTACCAATATGTCCCTAACGGTTGAATGTGGGTCAATTATCCTGCAAGCTGCTTAACCCTTTCTGATCATCATGCGTCATACGGTGTATCTTAGGCTTGTTTTCAGATGGAATTCCAGAATAAGAGCTATCGCTATTCCAGAATAAGGGTATCCACACATGGAGTTATTGCACTTTAAATTAACACTCTACCTTAAAATGAAACAAGTTTCAAGTGTAGACAAGCCCTTTTTCCTGTTGGGAAGGGGAGTAAGCTATCCACACTAGAGGTTATTCTGGTATAACTATTTTGGTAAGAAATCACACCCTTAACTGACATAGTTATATCAATACAAAATTTGCATGTAGCCCAGTCCTTAGGCCCCAATCCTGCAAAGACTTCCACATCAGCTTAACTTTACATGTTGTAAGTAGTCAATGTGTAAAATTAAGCAGCAGAGGCGTAAATCTTTGCAGGATGAGTGCCTTAATCACAAAGTGCCTTAGTTTTGCCTTCTGAAAAATAGGGCTAATACAAGAAATTCTCAATTCTGTATGTACCTATGGAGTGCTAAAAGGGATAACAATGGCCAGGTGAGCTTTCATTAGGTCAATACTGCCACACTTCAAGAAAACTTAAATTTGTGTTTTACAGGGAAGTTAGATTAGACACTTCCAGAAAAATTATTGCTTGGCTCATACATTTCTTTTTTTTAAATTGCAGTGTGTTAAGGATTTATCTGGACTTTCAATGATTGGTTGTAAGGGGAGCGTGGTTAGAAGGAAGTATCATTTGAGATGGGGAAAGGGGCAACATTGTGGTGGCTGGGGCCATGGTTTTGACTTAATCAACCTTTGGTTGTAATTTAACAACAAATGACATATTCTGATTCCCCTGTATGCTTCTCTGGTTCTTGTACAGTTCAGAAACAGGGAAATGTCATCAGGTGATTCATAATGAGTGCTCTGAAGGTACGGATACACAATAATATTTAGTATCTATATAGTGCTTCAAAGAGTTTTCAAAGAGATGTACACACCAGAGAAGGTGTGTTCTCTCCATGAAGTTTTCACAGAATGACTTTAGGGTTAATGGATCCTAAAACAAGTTATTTTCTAAATTTGAAGTAACTGATGTGGAAAAATTTCAGTCATACGTGCATTTTGCAACATTGTTGGTAACGAAAATGTAGGCTGATTTTCTCCTAATTATTCCTTATTTTTCCCTCCGATGGCAGGAAGAACTTCATCAGTTGTATCCTTTTGGACATCCCATCCCTTGCACTTCGGGATGACCTGCAAGATCAGTGTCTAATAAGTTTGCACAATGTTTATATTAGCATAGTTTTCACTGGTATCCTTTTTTGTGTGGCATCAACCATCAACACCATCCGTTTGAGCTACTATTGGTAGGTGATAGCTTCTAAAGGTATGTCTTCACAGCAGAGTTATCCCAGGCTCCTACTTGGGTATTGCTGCTATCCCAGCACCCATACACACATGAAGCCCTCTTGCATGAAAATACTTATGCTTTCAGCCTGGGCTAGCTGGCTGGTCTGGTGCTATAGGTTGACAGTCAAGTTCTGCTTTCACTTGTACTGGTAACCCACCCACTTTGCAATCAGAGCGCAGGCTAAACCAGTCAAATGCCAATAGTCCGACTCCTTCGATGCTTTCCCAAAATTCCCTCTCCCCCATGTGTTGAAAAGCACAGACACATTCTCCTACAGTTCACTGGGAAAGAATCATAGAGTGGGTCAGCTTACAGCAATGCTAAGAACCATGGGATATGCCCCTAGAAGTCCTAGCAAAACATGAATCAGCGTGGACCCTGTAACTCAGGTATGGTTTTGCAATGTGGCTGCTCACATCCTGGGTAGGTTAAGCTAGGGGCTGTTCACCTGAATGAAGACATATCCTAAGTCAGTGATGTGTAGATGAGTAATTGAAAGAGAATTGAAACAAAAAACAGTCACCATAGATCCATGGTCTTTCGAGGTATATGAGGGAGATTAGAGGAGAAGGAAGGAGTGACTGGTTGGTCTGTACTAGCAATCTAAAAAATTGTAGACTGAGCCACATGAAATCCATGCAGCACACACCCCTGAGACTTGACATTCCATAGCTGACAAGGGGTGCCAAAAGAGCATTGTAGCACACTCTTTGTCTCTCTTTCCTGGTGCTCCGCCCTCCCTTCCTCCTCTCCCCGCCCCCAGTGATAACCTCCTAAGAAAAGAGACAGACACCTTATTCTTCAAAGACTTCTGCTACTGGAATTTCTCCAGCATTTTTGCTCCACCTTCCTTCAACCAGAGAAACAGGAAAACCAAGTTCTGCCTTATTAAAATTAACATGCTTGGGAACTGGACTAGTCCCATGACTTGCAGGTATTCTCATCCAAACTGGGTGGGCACTAACACTAAAATATTCCGTATGTAAACTTAATATCATCTTAAACCTGGGGGACAGTAGAACGAAATGGCCACTAGAAATCCATGCCAAATTCTCTCTTGGTTGAAATGGGTGCAGCTCCATGATTTTGGCTCCTATATTTTACTGAAGGTGCTGTCAGCATTTGAAATGTGTATCACATTGGCTCCTGTGGTTCCCCCCCTTTAAACAATGCATAATAAACAAATGAAACAGACTACCAAGGAAATACAAATTAAATAAATGGCTGCTGGCTAGAAGACTCTTTCCCCAACATACACACTCTTATAATATTGATCTAACTGGAAATTTGGTGAGAAAGGCTGATCCAGAAGTTAGGGCATTAGCCAAGGACTTAAGAGACCTGGATTCAAGATCCTGCTCTACCACAAACTTCCTGCGCAACCTTGTGCAACTCACTATTTGCCTAGTGCATCAGTTCCTCAGCTGTAAAATTAGGAATAATAGGGTTCGCCGGAGTGTTGTGAGGATAATACCGTAAAGATTGTGAGGTGCTCAGATACTATGCTAATGAGGGCCCTGTTAACAACTAAGTATTAAAACTGACAAGAAACCAAAAAGCTATTGTCCTACATTCATAGTATTTGGAATCTTAACATTTGATTTTAGGTATTTCCAAGATATCAATCACCTTGGTATCTTAAGTGCCAAAATAAACCTGTACATGCATAGATTGCTATGGAAAATAAGGGATAGTAACATTTTGAGGTTAATATGCTGTAACTGATAATTTATAAAATAGATCTTGTCTGCATTACTGTTACAGATCCTTAATAACATTTGTCAGCTGTCATCTGTTCCTTTACAGATATTGTTCTATTTAAATGGATTTTATTACATCTTTTATTTCTTGGCAACTCTTCTAATGATTATTTATAAAAGTCAGTTACTTTATACATATTCTAAACACAAAACTCAGATGTGTGCGTGTTATATTGTGATGACTTGATGTACTTAATGGTTTTGGTTTGTTTACGCTTTGTTATTCAACAGGTCAAGTTTTCAGTTATCCAGATAATTACTTGGGTCTTGATCTTGCACTGCTGTTCATTATGGCCACTCTAGAAGCAATCCGATTATACTTGGGTATGTTGATCTTAAATATCATTGTGCACTTTAAGATGGAATGTTTGCCTCATAGTCTTTACACATTAATCATGTTATGAATGTGGATGTCAAAACTTGCTGACTTAGCAGCGTAACTAATTATTTTACAGACTGTTAAACATGTATGTTGTTGAACATTAATTGATTGATTGATCTGTATTGCCAGAAGGGCAAATGATTGTAGTTATATATTGGTTAAATATAATTTTTAAGTACCACTAAAAAGGGACAGATTTACAGATAACAAGAACTGCTGGAAATGTAACACTGGAGTATTGCTGTGCTATTTATAAGTATGTATGTTGTGGGAGAGAATAAAGCTCAAAACACAGAGGCCCTGATTCTGCTGAAGGGCTCATTTACACTGCTCCAGCAGCATAAAAGTGGTCAAGTGGCTGGAAATAGCCCCCGGTGATTACCCAGTACAGAAGACTTCCTTGAGCAACCTGAGCTGCCACAATTGTTCCACACCCCTCCTTCTTGCAGCCCTCATTTCTTCCAGCACTACACTTGGAGGGCAGGGTATGGGGCAGGAGGGATGCTCACTTTGACTCTGGCCCCTTTGCATTGAGTTAATGGGCTAGAGTGGCATAACGGGCCATATAAGCCTCGGTTCCAACTCCCACCATAGGCATTACTGAGTCAGTCAGAAGGGGTTTGTTTGTTTGTTGGGGGTAGGGATTAATTTTTTTATATGCCAGGCGTTCTTGAGACATTTATACCAGCATACACCATGGGCTTCTGCTGAATTCAGCTAGGTTACATCAGGGATGAATTTAGCCTATTGTCTTCAGTTTATAGTTAAAATGTGTCTAAAAGTAAATTCTCTGCATATGTGCTCAGAGCCTGTTTGATGAAAACATTTTATAAATTGAAAAATAAGTTCCAAGTCTGAGGCAATTAAAAAATGAATCACAAAACTATTGACCCTAAAACTGGCTTGGACATAAGGTACAAAATTTTAACGAAGACACTTAATAATTAGAACAGATGACAAGAGATGTGGTAGATTTTCCATTACTTGAAATATTAAAATTATATTTGGATCTCTTTATAAAAGATATAATCTAGTCCAGTGGTTCTCAAACTTTTTTTTTCGCGGACCACTTGAAAATTGCTGAGGGTCTTGACGGACCACTTAATGATCTTTCCAAGTGTTGTTTGTACCGTTAGCTAACTATTGTAAAGCGCTTTGCATAAAAGCTCTCTCTATAAAAAAAACTTAATAATAATACACTTTTTTGTTCTACAAATAAAAGCACACAACTCATATTTTAATATCAGTAGTCTTACCTTTCTAATGCGATGGATGGGCCCTCTCTCCCCTGCCGCAGCAGCTCCCAAGCTGGGGCTGGGAAGGGGGGGTGTCTCTCCTCCACCATAGCAGCCACATGGCTGAGGCTGGGAAGGAGGGCCATCACTCCCCAGCAGCCGCAGCCTTGGAGCTGGGGAAAGTTGCCTCTTTCTCTGGCCACCGCAGTCCTGCACGTCCCAAATTCCCCCCACCCCCTCTTCTCACCCCACTGCCCTCTCCCACCTACTCTCTATTCACCCCAAGGCCTCCACCTCACCTTACATGTGCGTCTTCTCCAGGGTCCAGGCACCTAATTAGTGGAGCCACACAGTGGGTGGCCCTTCATTCTCTCATGTGCAGCCGCCCAAACACGCATCTTAGAGGGAACTATCCGCGGACCACCTGAAAGGAGCTCGTGGCTGCGGACCACAGTTTGAGAACCTCTGTTCTAGTCAACAAGTTGTCAGGCTCAGTGCAGGAATTATGTGAAATTTGATGGCCTTTCAAGCAACAAGCCAGACTAGATGATCGTAATGATCACATCTAACTTTAAAATCTATTAATCTGGGGAAAATAATGTAGGAGTTGTGCTTAGGGCTTGTGCACATGTGCTGCATGGATTTTCCACACCCCTCAGCAATGTAGTTATACTGATAGAAATCTATAGTGTAGACCAAGTCTTAGAGTACCAGTAGATTGTCTTTTATCCAAACTACCATCCTGGTCAGTGTTGAAATGACTGTGCTTATCTGTCTTGGGATTTGTTCTTAAACTTACAGACAGGGGCCTTGATTCAGGAAAGCACTTAAGCATGTGCTTGACTTTAAGCATGTACTTAAGTCCTATAGACTTCAAAGAGTCTTAAGCATGTACTTACAGTTAAGCATGTGTTTAAGTGCCCTTACTGATCAGGGCTGCTCTCCTGAGTTGGGGCCCAAGACATTGTCCCTGTAAACAGTCAAAGATTCATGTAACCCTTTTGTTTCCTCAAGGTACAAAGGGTAACCTGACAGAAGAAGAGATTCCACTAGGCATCAGTCTAATGATTACTGTTGGCAGCATAATGTTGTCTGTCTACTTCCTGCTGTGGGAGACTTACGTGCTGAAAGCAGATGTCATTATTAATGCTATTCTTCTTTTTACGTACGGGCTTGAGGGACTACTACAGATCATAGCCATTGCTGCATTTGTCAGCTAAATCTCTGCTGCTCAAAGTTGTAAGGTACATCTGCTTCCAACATTTCTTCAGTAAAGGGACAACATGCATCTTTAAACAGTAAAGGTATTTGGTTTCACTTTCTCCAGTGTAAAATACTGAGGGGAACCTCATCCTTATATTACAAGGTTTAATATAGCCCTATTCCGGCACAGACCCCCATGAATAACCAGGTAGAATATCCTGTACAGTAGTTCTGTTCCAATAAGTAGTTTGACTAAGTAGTTCATTTAGTGGCAATGTCCCTGCTTCAGGAAAACACTTAAGTACATGCTCCGCTTTAAGTCTGAGTAATTCCACTGCAGTCAATGGGAGTGCTTCTGGGCTCAAAGTTACACACATATTCAAGTGTATTCCTGCATTAGGTCCATGTGCTGACCTGCTGTGCCTAAAGAGGTACATGTGTATTTAATCAAAATTCTGCATCAGATATTTGTATCCAAATCAGAACAAATATAAACCAAGATGTTACTCTAGTTGTATGTTGGTACAATACCATTGGTTTTAATGAAATCTCACTGGCATAAAACTGGAGTAATGCAAAGATCAACCAGGCCCTATCTACATTAAAAGAAAATACTGTGGGCTCAGTTCTGCACTACCAAGATAACAGGGTAGTATTTGAGGGCAGAATTTTGTCCTGTTGTCCTTATTCTGATCTCACTTGTGCCTTTTACACCTTCGTAACTCCACTGACTTCAGTGGAGTTACTCTGGTTGATACCAGTGTGTGAGAGAGCCGAATCAGGTCTCCTCTATGCAAAAGGGAGCTGAGTTATAGCTGTTGTGGGAACTACAGGTCCGACCACTCCTCATTTCCACTGAGGCCACATCTCTGCTTTGCAATGTAAAAGATGGGGCTTTAAAATGGGCATGAATGTTACATCCCCTTTGTACTACCTGAGCAGTGTAGAATGGCCTTTTTATAAATAAGAATTAGGCCTTGATTTTTCCTTTTGAAAGATCAGCTTTAATGTTGTGTAAGGTTTTTATAGTCTCTATATGATATACCTATTTTTATAACTTTCCTTTCCTGTTCTGTTAAATCACTATTTTAAAATCTGTTTGACTAAATGCAAGCTAAGATTTGCAGATGACCATGGGTTTTTGTAACAGTGTAATCATTGTTTTTTTTGTACATAATTATAGTCTTCATATTCATATGTTTTATTTTTGTATCATTTTAAAAAAAATAAAGAATTCATTACACCCTAATTCTGTTTGCAAGTGCAAAATATTTTGGACCAGATTCTGGGGTATGGCTAAGCGCACAGAGCACAAGTTGGGGTGGTTAGGCAGAGTGTGTGGAAAGAACTCCTTTGATTTTGCTGCTTCTGTGTGCAGGCCAGTTTATCCTGAGGTCTGCTTTAATTTACACCAGGCTGCAATGACTTCAGGGGGCTGAAAATGCAGCCAGGGACTGGTGTTGCCTGGTAGTGGCTCAGCCACACACCCTTTTCCTTGCTGTGATGGCAGCAGGGGGGCAGTGATGTAAAAGCCCATGTGGCAGCACTGTGCCACCAAAGGATCAATCTTAAATTAGGGAAATTGTCCATGAGCTAGTTAACATCTGCTTCAGAGCCACATTATACCTACAGTGTAACTAACGTCAAAATCGGCATTTCTGCAGGCAGATCTCCTGGGGATGAAATCCTGGCCCTGTTAAAGCCAATGGCAAAATTTCCCATTGATTTCAGTAGGGTCAGGATTTCACCCCAAAGTCAATGCGAGAATTATGGAAGTGCGTCCTAAGAGGCAGCAGATAAAATGAGTGACTGAATGCTTTCATGCTTAATCTGCATAAGTCAAATGGCAGTCCTTTTGTTCTTCTAAATTTGCCTGGCATAATGGAATCTGCCCTGACATACATTTTCTGTTAATAAAGCAAAATTCACAACATATAACACTGCTTCACTCACCCTATGCATGATGAAAGCATATCACGAAAGCATACCATGCATATTTATACCTTGATTTATTGAATGTGTGCAAATAAATGAAAGTTCATTTCCTGGTATTTAGTTATACCCATCTCAGTCAAAGGTAGAAATGCAGGGGCCCTTAACAGAATCCAAAGGAAAAACGATGTAAACAAAACCAGTTACTTGATTGTCTATATTAGAGCAGACAGGGATAGCACACCTTATAGTTAACTCTGAGTTCCTATATTCGCGTCCCTCTTTTACATGGCGCTGGTGATCTGAAAGGGTAGCTGTAAATAGAGCACATTAGACTAGTCCAGCTAGAGGTAACAAATGTCTAACTTCATTAATAATTTAAATACACTTTTTCTCTTATTTCCAAGTGTTGTCTTGAGTCCCACAATTAATGCCTGAAGTCATGTGCTCTCTGGTGCAGATAAAGTACCCATCCAATGTCTCCTGGTGTTCCATGCTCTTTGCAACCTTTTTCACCATAGATGTAGATGGGGTCTACATCTGTAGCACAATGTTCTGTGATACATTGTCGCCTGTATGCATTATTCTCTGTACAGACTGTCAGTCATTTTGAAATTCTCTCTGAAAGAAACTAGTGTAACACTTAAGAAAACTAATAACCCAAGAAGTCATCTAAGGCCTTGTTGACCTGCCCTCACACGGGTGAAGTTAAACTGGAGCAATCCCCTTGTCGATACTCATATTTTGGTTAGAGTGGGTATATTTTTGGCTTAGCTTCAACTTGTTCCTAATGTACTTAAGGCGAATTGAAGCCATTCTTAAATCAAAATAAGTAACTACATGGGAGTTTAAACTGATTTAAATTCACACCGTTAGTTAAGCCAGTGTGACTATCCTTGTAGGTAAGCCCTAAACTCTCAAGCAGCATCAAATAATCAGAGCAGGGTCTAATGTTCCAGAGAGGAATCTGAGCCCTACTGCACTATTAATAATATTAGCTTGGCACACCCAACTCTCTGGGTCAGAGGCTGATCTCACTGATTATATTGGCAGTAGGTGGAGAGAGAAGAAATGAGATTGTAGAAGTGGGAGGCTAGTGACCACAGAGTTAAAAGTCCGACAGCCTCTTTTCTGCTGTCTTGCTAGTGCAGCCTCAATCCACTGCCCATGTTCGTGATTAGGCAGTCGTCACAGCTCATCTTTTACCTGATCTCATTCACTCATTTGTGGATGAGAAAATCGTGGATGCCTAGAGCAAGGGGGGGGACATTCTCTCCATAAATTGTGTGTTATTGCTTGAGCATGTTTAAACAGAAGTGCTGGAGTGCTGAGAGCCAGGCTTCTCCTCAATTGCATATGGGCAGGGCAAAGTTTTGGTACCAGGGGACCGTGAAATTACCAGGGTTTCTGGATGACAAATATGAACTGGAGCAGTGGTTCTCAAAGCCAGTCCGCCTCTTGTTCAGGGAAAGCCCCTGGCGGGCCGGACTGGTTTGTTTACCTGCAGTGTCCACAGGTTTGACCGATCGCGGCTCCCACTGGCCGCGGTTCGCCGCTCCAGGCCAATGGGGGCCGCGGGAAGCGGTGCAGGCCAAGGGACATGCTGGCCGCCCTTCCCACAGCCCCCATTGGCCTGGAGCGGCGAACCGCGGCCAGTGGGAGCCGCGATCGGCCGAACCTGTGGACGCGGCAGGTAAACAAACCAGTCCGGCCCGCCAGGGGCTTTCCCTGAACAAGCGGCGGACCGGCTTTGAGAACCACTGAACTAGAGGATTTATACCATCCATGGAATGTTAAGTAGTTATGCTTTTATGCCTTCTTGTATGCCACCCCTATGCTTTGAACAATCTCCTGGTTAGCATGTGCCAAGCCTCTCCCTCTCACACTTCAGAAAATTCATGGGTTCCATGAAGCCAGCAAGCCATAATGCTCACACTCATCTCTCTGTTTGCCATTGCTACTGTGCCCGTTCCTATAGTTAAACTCAATCCTGCAACAAGCTCTGTCCAAGCAGATCACTGCCTGTGTGTGGAGCTTCTTTCAGGATCAGGGCCATAGACTAAACTCTTTGGGACAGAAATTTGTTAACTTTATTTGGTATATTGTACCTGCTGTACAGCACGAAGTACAGTTGTATTGTGAGAGAATATTTTGGATTTCCTCTAGTATCCCAGCAACAGCAAAACAGGAATATCCTGTTAAACAGAAACGGTGGTGGACAAGTCAATACTGTCTTTCACTAGATGGAGCCAAGTTTTGATTAATATCTCTTATTTGCAGTTAAAAATAATACTGACAGACAAGGTCTCAGGCTCTGCAAGTCCTTTCTCTGAGTCAGTGGAGAAAAATATAGGAAAAAGGCTGGCAGGGTTCTTATATTTGACTTTATTTCTGCTGATTTAAAGGTGCCCTGTAAAGGATGAAATGACACTTGTGCTATTTTCATATTCTTTATGGAGCTGAAAGGGTTTTTTAAAAAAGGTTTCTACTTGGTAGAAAGGAGTGTACAAGCCCAACTGTTTTCCCCTTTGCAAGGCACCTTTAAAAGGGACTGATCTTAGGGACTGGGGGAGACAATGGTTTAATTCACTAGCGTTCAGTGTTGGAGTTCAAAGTTCACATCTTCTTGTTTAGGTCAATATTTCAAATGCGGCTGGTGGTTTCAAAATAGGACCTAATCCAAAGCCCCCTGGAAGTCAATGGGAGTCTTCCCATTGGCACCAAGGGGCTTTGGATCAGGCCCCTAATCCCTAGTGGATCTCTCTTCATGTCACAAAATCACCATACAATTGGCACTGTCTGCTCAGGAGAAGTCTAGGAACTGACTGGCGTAGGTTATATAGTAGGTGCACGAGCAGAGCTAGGTGGGAAAGCTTAAACTCTGTACCTGCACTGTGCCTGGCATTAGTCAGAGCTGTTAGTCTCTTGAGGTCATCTGTTAGCTGATTTCTCTCTGATGTTTCAGTGCCAGAAAGGAGGAGGATGCAGCAATGACCAAGGGCAGTGTTAAGGAAAGGAGGAAAAGATCCAAAGGTTATATAAACCCCATTCAGATGTTGGCAGGGAGGCGATTGGCCCTCTCCACCTAGAGGAAGAATAGTTGCCTTCCCTGCGTGCAGGGATTTACAGGGTAGCTGGGCTGCTCCAGCTGAGGGAATTCATTTTATACCCCCCAGTGGCGCTTCTCAGGATACCCAGGGCTGAGAGTCACCTTGTTACCACCTGCCTTCAGCATGATGGAGTCTGACCTGTGCTAGATGGGTGTTAGCTCCCTTCCACAACCAGCCTGTCAGCCACCCAGGCACTCTCCCTTGGGCTACACAACCCTGTCTTCACTTTGGAGGTTGACAAGAGATGCACTTCAGCCCCCAGGTCCCTTCAAAGTGTCCGTGTGGTCTCCAGCCCCTGATCACGGTATACCCTCAGAAATCCCACATCCTCTGTTCCCAAAGGAACAGTGTACCACAGTTCACCACTTTACCTTATACCACTATGCACAGCACTCAAGTTCAATTATAAAACAAAAGGAAGTTTGTTTAAGAAAGAATAGAGATTCAAATAAAAACCAAAGTGAGAGATGGGAACAAATGGTTACATATAAAACAAAATCATACCACTCATTCTAGAGACTAAACCTAACCAAGCTAACCTGTCTGAAGCAGATTCCTTCTCCCAAACTTCTTCCCAGTGTTTTCAGCCAAGCCTAGCTGAGATCTCTTTTTCATAAAGCAAACCCACTGTCAGGTTACTTCCTAGCTGAAGGATGCCAGGGTGTCTCTCTGCACTGCCAAATATACCAGAACAGACCTTTGATGTTCACCTTAAACTAGGATCTTTTCACCTGCCTTTACCTCTTCCTGTTTAATTTCCTTCTGAAGTCTCCACCAGCTCTTCATTAGCATTTTTAGTATGCTAATAGACTCCTACTGTATGATATACAATTCACAGTGGTCCATCATGGAGATAAGTGTCTCCCATGCCCTGCTGAGAGAAGTTTGTCTCAAGACAATCTACATTTGAGTAACCTGCTTTTAACTACAGACCTAGAGAACTTAATTTTTGTATATACCCATTTAGCTCCTCACATATTTTCTGTGCAATGATTATGATGACTGGTGTAACACAAGCTTTCAGTAGAGACCTTACATGGCCCCTTTTGATGAACCCATGGGATCCCTGTGCCCCTTTGTATTCCTGTGCCCTCTGCCAGTTGGCAATGAGTCCTTGGATCACACCCCCTCTAGCACAATACATGGCGGACATGCTGTAAGGAGTTGAGAGCAGAGTCTGACTGAGAATTAGGGAGGAATGGACTCT